CTAAGCTGCGCCGAGGAACACTGGACTGGCTTCTCGACTTGCCTCTCCCTGCCCTGCCTTGCCTTGCTTTGCGGCCTTTGCCCACTCCCGTAGCTACTTACTGACTTGCTCGCTCCTTTCCACCTCTACTTCCTGTCCACCACTAATTACCACCTCCTCCACCCCCAACCACCTCCCTTCCTACCAACTTCAACTCCGCGCTTCACGATCTCTTCGACTCTACCACCCACAACCGAACCCTCTGTCTCCATCTCCATCTTGAACCATCCCATCCACCCTCTACCGACCGCGAATAAATCCATCCTGACATCATCGCCTTCCTCCTATCGAACACCTGTTCTCGCTTCCGCGACCGGCTTGGCGCACCACCCACTCGGATTCAAGGCTACCTGCGTCACCACTCCTGTCCAATTCCACGGCAAGCAGCATCCTCTCTCCCGAAAGACGACACACAATCGAGTCAAACACATCCCCAGTGCATGAAGCGACCTTTTGCGATCCCGAACTAGGGGCATGGCGGCCTAGGAATACTTCCCGATCACGACCTGAGCTGTGCGACAAGCATAGGACGCTCGTGGCACAAGAGAAAGAGCGAGACGTAGACTAGTTGGAGTGCAGCTCGAGCATCATGGAGCTCGAGAACCAACCCCACACCATGGCCGAACCACCGTCGGAACCCTATGCCGCTGCGCTCGACTCTTCCTTCCAGGCGTCTCCGAACTTGCGATCGCACAAGCTTCTACCTCGAAATAGAGCCGAAATCCCCTCTCCAACACCCACCGGACCTCCGCGCAAAGACTCTTCGCAAGGAGACGAGGACGATCCCATGTCTGAGGCAAGTAGTGCTACCTCTCTGCCGTCGATTTCCACCGCCAAAGGGGCAGAGAACGGCTTACCTCCCACGCCACCCTCGAATTCCCTTGATGGAGAAGCTCCCGTCCCTCTCAGTCCTCCTCCGCACGCCGACAGTGTGGTCTCGTCATTACTATCGAAGAAATCGTCTCTCAGCACGCCCGTGAATAATCGAAGCCCTCCCACTCCCGACCCCAGCCCCCCTCGAACCACCGAATCCATGAAGACCCCCGACACTTCCACGCGCCCGGAACGACCTCCAATGCTGGCTTATCCATCTTCCCGCGCTGAATCCTTCATGACCGCAAAGGAAGAGCTAAACTCGTCCGATATAGACAGTGGGCTGAGTACGCCGCTGGGAGATAGATTAAGCATGGTGGCTGAAGAGCGCGGTCTTGGGCTTGCATTCGAACGCGATGATGGTGATGTCACTCCGACCGCAGAGATACAGGACCCGTTCGAGACGCCGAATGAGATCGGACCCACGGGCGAGGAGAACAAGGATCCCTTGAGTGTGGAGGAGATACCCGATCGGGAATGGGATACGAATCTAATGAGAAATGTCACCATTCGCAGAAAACGTCGAGACTCGAAACCTTCTCCACAGAAGAAGGCGGATCCCATCGACACGGAAATGCCAGAATCCCCATCCAAGCGGGCGTCCTGCAGGCGGACGTCGAGCCTGCGCGAGCGCGTGCAAGCAAGTAAGGGCAGCCCGCGAACGCCATCTGTCGAAAATTTTGCGCGCTCAATTGGCTGGCCGACAGACGCTAGCAACGCGCCTGACGACCAAAAGCGCGATGTGGATACCAAACGGTTGTCAGTGTCGTCCACAACCTCAGCAGTCGTCGAAGCCATGGTCATCGTGACACCGCCCAGAAGGAGACAGACGCTGCGCCATTCCGGCAAGAACTTGGCCTATAGGCCGGTCTACGAGAGGGACGAACCGTCGGGGGATCTTACTCAGTCGAATCGAAACTCGATGGTTTCCGAGGACACCCACCGGCTGGTACACAAGCGTGCTACTGTCCAGAGAATCAGCACGCCTGCATCCTCACTCCGCCACGCCAGCACGCCAATTTCCTTCCGTCGGAACACGCCCATAGATAGTTCGGCTTTCACTCTGGCGCATCAAGAGTCGGTGCGGAGGGTGTTACAGCCAGCAGCCGACATCATGAGTCGATCGAACTCGGTGACTAGGAACCACCCACTAGAGAAAAGCTTTCATAAACGCATCTCCTCTGCGCCCGAGACCACGAGGAGAATGGCAGCATCTCCCGGTCCGCGGGCGTTTGTAGAATTGTCAGCACCTGAGAGCCCCACGAGAGATCGCAGTATGGTGCAGCCCCCACGAGTCCGGCGAACGTCTCCGGCCATCAGGACCCCAGGACCGGTCGATGCTTCTCCTACGTCGCCAACAGCTGAGAGGAGGCTTCCAAAATCGGCTCAGTATTCTCCGAGTTACGATAAGTCGCTTCCCGAGCTCCCAGCCGAGTCCGCTTCAAAGGCGAAAGAGGAGGTCCAACCAGCACCTGCGCCAGTAGTTGAGACTGACAGGACTCCCGTCACATTCCATGATGCAGTATCTGAGCAGCCTGCAGAAACCGATGATGCCCCCCGAGAGCGTCCAACGCAACGGCGAGGTTCGTCTGCGGAAAGAACGCCAACGGTCCGACGAGGATCTCTGTCGACACGGGGGCGATCCGAAGAGCGAAGACGCAGCACCCATAGCCAGGATCGAAGATCTAACTCTGGCGATACCCTCCTTCATCCCAGCATGGACCGCATCCCCACGGAAGAACTTCCGCGCCACAGCTCGGAATGGAACCATGATCACAGGCGGGTCAGTTTTGATAGGTCGACATCACGTGCGAGCGATGAGCATGCTATGGCGCGACATCTGTTTGCGCAGACCACGCCGTTCTCGCAAATCTCGGATACGCCCATCGAAGTCAGCGAAGCAACCGCAGTCAGCATTTTTCCGCACAACAACCATTCCCTACTGGTCGTACAGCAACCGGCACGCTCGAGCCTGATGCCCGGCGAGGAAGACGTACCCTACGATACTAGAGTGCCGACTTCGGATCCAAAGGCTTCTGAGGAAGCGTCTTCTGCACTTATGCTTCGCGCAAACAGCCAGGACGCAGCGATACCCGACCAACCGACCGTGACCGTAGAACCATCTACTCCTCCGATGAAGATCAGCCTCCCTAGCCATGTCGATTCGCCGCTAAAGAATCCGAGGGCCGCACCTGTCCCACCACAGATCAACTTCATACCTCCAACTCCTTTGGATGAGGTCGAGGCCCTGCAGTTGCAGCCAGCGTCGTTACAGCCAGCGCCACCCGGCCCTCCCAAACGCTCTGATTCCCACCCCCAGCGCCGTCTATCCCTCAAAGAGCGCGCCCGTCGCTACTCAGATAACTTCATCTCGCCGCTCCTCGCGAGAGCCTCCAGCACTCGGGGACGTTACGTCAGCGATCCGCACACCCACCAGAACCCGCGCGTGCCGACTGTCAACGACATGGACGGCGCTCTCCATCCCTTCTGGCGACCCCGCGGCTTCTGGGACGACTTCGACGAAAGCGAGTCCGAAAGTGACGACGACATCCTCCCTCGAGGCGGCGACACTAGCGACGTTGAAGATGAGCCTGAGCCGCAACCACCAAAGAAAGGAGCCGTCCTGAAGCGGAGGTTAACGAACGGTCTGAAAGGACCAGGAGGCTTCCTCATCGGCAACTCCCTCGGCGTCGAGCGTCATGGCTCCAACAGACGCCGTCCACGCATCGACCTCCCAACCCGTCGCTTCTCCAACAAGACCCCCAAAGTCCTCATCCAAGCACCCACCCTCCCATCAGAACCACGCTCGCGCTCCCCACCACCACACCCCAACCGCGTAGAGAAGCGCATATCACGAAGCAGCCCACGCAACTCGTCCACGAGCAGCCTCGACCGCCCCCGCCGCACGAGCCGCCGCGACGCCTGGCGCGATGGCAAGCGCATCCCCGGCGTCCCGCGCCTCCAAGTCCAATACATCGGCTTCAGCGGCGTCAAGGACCGCATCCGCGAGCGGCGCGCAGAGAAACGTCGGGATGAACTGCGTCGCAGCATCGGGACGAGGTATTACGTTGAGGGCGGCACGAATGTGGCGTAGCGTAGCGTGGAATCATGACTTCTTCCTTCTTTTTTTTTGAGGTTTCAGAGCACATACCCCCTTATTGTCATCATCTTTTTCTTCTCTGATTCCTTTTTAAACCATCAATCAAATTTAAGCGAGCGAACCTTTTTACGTTTTTAAAAATTCCCATCTTTTTCTTCTCTCGAGACATCATCATCATGACCAGAATAGCAAACCCGGCATTTCTGCTCTTTTCCTTCCCCAGGCGCAACTTTTGACGACGATCAAGAATATTTATCTAGGTGGAGGATTTCCACCTTTTTTTAAACACCGCTGCTCCTTCCTTCCATGTCTTCCAGACGCGCGAGCATACTTTTGTAAACCACCAATCAAGCAAGCGAACACACAAACACACGTAAGGCGCGAAGCGAAGCGGAGAACCCCCGAAAAGGAGCGACCTCATTGCGATGTAACGAATAACGACATGGTTTTTCCTTCACCTTTTCTTTCTTATTTTCCTGGGGTATCTTGGACAGCCGGCTGGATGGAGGGTAACTTTCCTCTCTAGACAAGTGGGACAGGCGGTTTCAGCGCGCATCGTGGCCGATCGTGGAGGAGTAACGGCAGCAGGAGTGGGAGGTTGTAGGGGGTGTAGTAGAGCAAGGAGGGGAAGAGAGTAGTGAAGGCTCTTTGTATAATTATTGAATCAATCTTGTGGGATATGACTTATGGGTTTCTTTGTCTGTCTCTCTGTGCGTGCGTGTCTTAAATGTCTTAATCGTGATTGCTATGTTCTTGCCTAATTACCCACCATCGCTCCACCAGGCTGTTGTCGAGGTATTTCATGGAATGTGTGACAGGTCGATGTGACTTTTTCGATGAGGTATGATTGCTTTTGAGTGGAAGGGGGAAGGAAATGGTTTAGGTATTCTTTTATGTGGGAATCTTTTGTGTTTTTATTTGTCGGCGTTTGGATGTGTTCGTTCGTACGTCTTTGTACCCATGAAACAACGCCACCCCATCCTACCCCTGTATGTTGATAGATGTGTACAACAGCATATGTTCAGCTAGGTGTGTGTATGCACGCTCGTACGTCTCGAGGATAGAATATGTCTGTTTGTTTGAAACATACTGTCTGGTTTGGTCACTAGAAATCTGCTTGATGTTTTTTTTGTGGTAAGGAGTTGATAGAAAGAGGAGGGGGGGATAATGGTTTCTTGCACTGATATCGCGGAGTGTGGTCATGTTCATTGGCACATAGAGTGTAGAGGAGGAGTTGGAGTGATGCTTGGTTCTTTGGGCTGTTTTGGTTGTGCTTGTGGTGTGCTTATTGTAGGGTGTCTGCGTGGAAGAGTATGGAGATCAGATACATGGATAGACAGCGGAACGACATACTGTAGATGTATGATTAAATCGAAGGACTTGTGATTCTTCACTGAGAGTGCTGATAGTGTTTGCACAGCGTCAAACAGCGGAGAACTAGGAACAGAAAGCTGAGTAGCATAAGAAGCCGTCACCTGGAATTAACGGCGCCAGAATACTGAAAGCAGGCATACCTTTTTGTTAGTCATCAAGATCAATATCTACATAGTTTGTAATGAAAGGATTCGTTCGAAAAGGTTGGTTGAGAATATTTATCACTGGCATCATGATGGCCTATGGGGTAGGATATCTAGCTGGGGAATTTATTTGAATTGAACCTAAGATTCTCACCAGTGTATACATCTCTAAACATGACAGTCTTGTTCAATGCCTATTGGAATAACTACGAAGCCGTCATATGACAAAATTGATACTCTATGTGTGAGCTAGGTGTTCATTGATGTTGTTAGAAAATCTACAACGTTCGTCAAACAGTGACTGATATTACAATTACACACTGGTTTAATTGAACATGAAACCACCTCACATAGGTCCAAAAGCTATACCATACTTCCTCCATTATCTTTTAGTACGCGTCTCAGTCACATGGGCGAGTTGTCGCGTCTTTCTCTCACTTGGGCAGGTGCGCGCAATTCTTGGCAAACGCGTATGATTCTATAACCACACTTTCAACCTCTCCATCTACCTCCCTCACCTTCTCCCCTCGCCTCACCTTTCCCTACCCTTCCCTCCATCGCGGACGACAATCAATCCTCACCGTGTCTCCGCCATGGCTCCACCCAACCCCCCCTACTTCCCCTTCGATATCCGCACAGCACTAACAACATCCCCAGCCACACGCAGCGATGCCACGACCCCAGGAGCCCCAGGGCCTCCCCCAAGCATCGAGGCGATCTCAATAATGATCGGCCTCACAGCCGGTAAGAGCTGTGCCCGCTGCGGCCGCAGCTCCAAGAACCCCCACCACAAACGGACCTTCTGGCGGTGCACGGGATTCTGCGTGCTCTGCCAGACCAAGCACGGCCACCCGGGCTCCGTGTGCCCGGTGCTGGGCGCGCTGAGGTATGCGCATGTTTTCACTCCTGAGTGGTGGCGCCTGAATACCGTGTTGGACGGGTATCCGTACCAGGGGATTCCGCCGGTTGGCGCTGGTGAGGAGGACAGTGGCTATGATGGCAATATCGGATCAATGCCCGGTACGCCGGATCTCAGAGCGACTGCGAGTTCTGCACGTGGTGCAGGTCGTGGTGGCGCGCGCGGCGGATCTAGACGTGGAAGATATCGTGGGAAGAGTCGCGGAGGTCGGAACTCCCCGAGCGCGAGATACATGCCTGGGGATAGATACACGCCTGTGGAGAGATACACGCCTGTGGAGAGATACACGCCTGTGGAGAGATACACGCCTGTGGAGAGATACACGCCTG